GCAATCCCAGTCCTCTCAGGAGGGCGCAGCTATTGAAGTCTGATCCAGCTTATATTAAAATCACTGGGAGTCTTTCCATTGACTTCTGTGGGAATTGGATTAGGCCCATTGTAGGCCTGAGACCTGATCAACCTTCCCCCTCTCCCCCCATATTAAACCAACCTTGGGTAAAACTCAGGGAGTTCACCACTAAAATTTGGTGGGGGGGGGGAGGGAAAGAATGTTCTGCTGCTGATAAAGCACTCCCACCTCAGGAATGTCCCTAAGGAGAGTTATAACCACCAAGGTTGTAAAGGCACTGGGAAATTAGGGACGATACAGAAAGAAACTCAGTAAATGGGAAGATAAGCTCTGACCAGCGTTTTTATGCTGACCCTCTGTATAAACAGAGAAGGTCACAACTAAGTTACAATTTGGACATGAAGGATCAAATGTAAAAACTTGGGCAGGAAGGAGGACACATAGGTGCCAGTGTGTAACTGGTTACATTTTTGTTATTTAGGAGTGTGGATAATGTGATCGGTTTAGTACATTTGAAGGAGGGAGCTAGTTTTACCTCTATAATGTACATGAAAACCACTGTATTTTTGGGAACCATTTCTGGACGGCAGTTCAATAGCAAGTTGCTGGAACTCGGACCCCTCCGCATGACCGTGAGGTGCAGAGGCATCACCGGGAACCCTCAGATGAATGGATCCTGACTGGCCATCGGGTGAAATTTGTCTGTATATTGGAAGCGGTGACCATAAGAGATTTGCTTGGTATATGTATTCTCTGTGTGTTGCTAATAATCAGATGTTTAGAGCACGGCTCTTTAAGGTTCTTTCACTGGGAAAAGGTTCTGCAGACCTGTAGAGCCCTGAGGGAAAGGGCGGGTACTTAAATTGACCAGGTTTCTTCCTGAGCCCTGTAGGTAAGGATAGGTGCCTTACCCGCTGAGCCTTTGGAAGGGAAAGGGTGGGGATGCCTAAATTGATTGGGTCACGGCTTGAGCCCTCGGTAGGGTATAGGCAGGGTGCCCTCGATTTTTGCCTCCCATATAAACAGCTATCTCAAGAGAGGAGCTGCATCATGGTGCTGCTAGATCTCAAATGTGCTCTTCTGAGCATGCTCCCCAAATGCGTCGGGAACAAAAATATTAAACAAACCAACAATCTGTTGCCAAAGAAGATGGAATTTTAGTACATAACGAGTGGACTGGCCCAAATCAAAACCATAGGTTCGAACCCCAAAGGTTGGCAGGAGTACAAAGTCTAGACCTAGATTCTAATTTCACAACCAGCCCGTGTCTCTAATGGAGCATCCCCCATGTAGAACACTTCAAACACGGGGACCTATGGAGAGCTGGGTAAATAATGGATTTTTTGGTTCTCTGGCAATTCAGAAAAATAAAATAAACTAAAATTAAAATAGTTTCAGGTAGAGCCCAAAGCAAGTTTTTTTGAAACTGAAAAGTTTTAAAAAACAATCGTTTTTGATCGAATGAAACATTTCATTTGACTCAAACTGAAATGTTTCATTTTCATTTTTAAGCATTTAATATTTTAAATGAAAAAAAGAGGAGATTATGCAATAAAAAAGTCATTTGGAATCAAAATCTCCAAACTCCAATCTTGAAAACATTGAAAGGAAATGTTTAGACTTTTTTTTTTGCAACGTTTTGATTTTTTCCCCCCCTTGCAACAAACAATTTGGCAAAATCAACATGAATTCATGAAATATTTTGGTGCCACCAAATTTGCATTATTCACTGAACAAGTATTTGTTCAAAAAATTTCATCCAGTTCTAGAAATACGTTTTGAAGCATGGAGCGCCAGACTCAATAATGGGCCAGATCATCATCTGGCTGGACATCTGCATAGCTCCTGGTTGGCATACAGGAGTTGCCCCATTTTACGGCTAGCATAGCTGAGCACATAGATCAGGCATATTGTTTCTGGACAGCAGTGTGTCTCAGGGGAGAACAGAGAGAAAGGATGGTCCAGTGGCTAGAGGATGAGCCCGGGTTTTGGGACGCCCAGGTTCAATTCCCTATTCTGCTGCAATTCAATTCCCTATTCAGCATCCTCTGTGATGCTGGGCAAGTTGTCTCCAGGCCTCAGTTCTCCATCTAGAAAAAGGTGATGATAGCTAAGGCTATGATTCTGGCCTGGTGTTCACAGTAATCGTTAATTTCATGCATCTTCCCCTCTGTAGATGGAGAGAGAGAGGAAGATGTGCTAGACCTGTGTGAAGCTGCAATTACAGGGGCCAGGTCACAACACCGGGAATGGGGAGCTGGGCCCAACCCCATGGGACATAGAATCATAGACTCTCAGGGCATGTCTACACTACCCGCCAGATCGGTGGGCAGTGATCAATCTAACAGGGATAGTCTAGACGTGATAAATTGACCCCCAAACCCTCTCCTGTCGACTCCTGTACTCCAGCACCGCGAGAGGCGCAGGCAGAGTCGACGGGGAAGTGGCAGCAGTCGACTCACCGCGGTGAAGACACCATGGTAAGTGGATCTAAGTACATCGACTTCAACTATGTCATTCACGTAGCTGAAGTTGCGTTACTTAGATCAATTCCCTCCCCCCGACACACACACTGTAGATCAGGGCTCAGGGTTGGAAGGGACCTCAGGAGGTCATCTAGTCCAACCCCCTGCTCAAAGCAGGACCAATCCCCAACTAAATCATCCCAGCCAGGGCTTTGTCAAGCCTGACCTTAAAAACCTCTAAGGAAGGAGATTCCACCACCTTCCAGGTAACCCATTCCAGCGCTTCACCACCCTGCTAGTGAAAACGTTTTTCCTAATATCCAACCTAAACCTCCCTCACTGCAATTTGAGACCATTACTCCTTGTTCTGTCATCTGGTACCCACTGAGAACAGTCTAGATCCATCCTCTTTGGAACCCCCTTTCAGGTAGTTGAAGGCTACTATCAAATCCCCCCTCATTCTTCTCTTCTGAAGACTTAACAATTCCAGTTCCCTCAGCCTCTCCTCATAAGTCATGTGCTCCAGACCCCTAATCATTTTTGTTGCCCTCCGCTGGACTCTTTCCAATTTTTCCACATCCTTCTTGTGGGGCCCCAAACTGGACGCAATACTCCAGATGAGGCCTCACCAATGCTGAAGAGAGGGGAATGATCACGTCCCTCGATCTGCTGGCAGTGCCTCTACTTATACAGCCTAAAATGCCGTTAGCCTTCCTGGCAGCAAGGGCACGCTGTCGACTCATATCCAGCTTCTCGTCCACTGTAACCCCTAGGTCCACCTGATCCACCACTGTGAGATGAGAGCAGAGTGAGCTTGCTCTCCAGCTCCTTCCCCCATTCTGCACCATCCTTGTTCTCCCGCACGTCTGCTGCGAAATGCATTGCAACGTTCTGCTAAAAAAACAGAGCCTGAATGATAAGTGCTTCCCAACCTCATCGTGGGGCTGTGAAAATCAATGCATTAAAAAGATTATGAACTGCTCAGATATTAGAGTGATGAGGGCTGTATAGGAGAAGCTGTGCTATATCTGGCCCAATATAGATAACCTTGGAGGGATTAGAGTCTTATCGGTAATGTCGGCAAACGTTGATTTTGCCATACACACAAACCAGCGAAAAAATATTTCCATCCGTACTCAGATAGACAAAGTAAGAAAAATGCTGCTTGAGAAGTTATTAGCTTTTGATTTAAGGAGATTTACTTTGTGTATTTTGACTTGCTGACAATTTGTTTGAACGGTTATAAAGTTTTAACTTTTTGAATCTCTGTGTTTACTGTCATTAAATAATTAGCGCCTGACACCCCCTCTTGTCTGACTCCATCATTTGCCACAACCGTGAACATTTCAATAGCTAAAAATAGGGAAAAAATGCGGAAAGCCCATTTTGCGCAATTTGGGAAAATTTAAATCAATAAATGTTTATAAAATGCTTACAAATAAACATTTATATTATCTATCAAAATGTAATAACAATAAAAACCGAATTCTGTGGAGCCTAAGTAAAGTGGACTGTTTATTGTAAATAACGGTTGAAAAAAAGGGCTGTATTTCTCCTCTTTCTGTTGTGATTATTACTACAAGGATGGAGATACTGCTTGCAGTTGACACTGACACAGGGTAACATTATAGTTAAAAGAAGAACAGGAGTACTTGTGGCACCTTAGAGACTAACAAATTTATTAGAGCATAAGCTTTCGTGGACGAAGTGTAATCAGAGGGGTCAAAACACACCTTGTCTCACCTCTGGTTTTTCTTCTTGCCACGGCAACAAGTACAACTAAAAATAAAGCAGCTCTCCAGCACGGCAAACCCTTGTGCCAGGCAGAGATTGGACTGTACGCACCGGTATAATAGGTTTATTGCAGGGAAATATACATGTATTCCAGCACTGCTGACCTTGAAGAGCCTTTGTGAAGGACCTTTTGGAAATGTAGCGTCATTGTCACCTTGGAGATCAGCTTTCAATCGCTTGATTTGTTTCTTGGTTTGTAAGTATAGGGTAGTCTGGTGGTTGAGACATGGGACTGGCCTGTGCTGTAGATAGCTTGTGTGATCTTGAGCAAGTCACTTAATTAGTCTGAGCCTCAGTTTCCCCATCTGCAAAATGGGCATAAAAGCCCTTCTTTTCTCTCACCCTTTGCCAGTCTTGTCTGATTAGGCCCAAAATCAGTGAAGCATTTAAGCACATGCTTAAACCCATTCCTAGGCCATAACAGACTTAAATATTTGCTAAATCCCATTGAAACTGATGCAGCGGCTTAAATGTATGTACGTGCGTAAATGCTTTGCTGAATGGGAATTGACTGCTGAATTGAAGCCTTAGCTTGTAAGATCTTTGGGGCAGCGACGAGCTCTTGCCCTATGTGCGTCCAGCAGCTAGCACAGCCGGGCCCGGATCCCATGTGGAGCCTCCAGGCGCGACCATAAACAAATTATAATCTCAATATCGTCATGCTAGCACTCCTCTTGTCTTTTTCCCAGGGCACTTATTTTTGGTCTCCTTTGTTGTCAGGCTGAATTTCGACCATCTGCTCCCTTGGGCACAGAGCTCTTTGCAAGGTGCGTAGCATGTTCTTGAGCACAATAATAGTAATAATAATAACAATAATATAAAGGGTGTTAGACTTACTCTGCCTTTTACAGGACCAGGACCAGAGTGTGTGAATCCATGGAGAAATGAACAGTTGGACTCTACCATCTTTAGGCTGATACAGACCAGTAAAGGGCAAATCCTGAGTTCTTCGTTCAGGTAAATTGAACCTAACATAAAGGTGGAAGGATTTAGCCTAGGTAAGATATCGCCAGCATTAGTGAGTTGAGTATTTATTATTTGTGTTGCAGTAGTGTCTAGGTGTCCTGGCCTTGGACTAGGCCTCCTTTGTGCTCGGTGCTGCACAAACATAGAACAAAAAGCCCCAAAGAGCTGACAATCCAAATATAAAACAAGAGAGGACAGGTGGATACAGACAGATGGGGGAACATGAGGAAACAGTGAGACAATATTGATACTTAGGACACAGTCGTTGGCCCTGGAAATCTATGTGTAGGCTTTAAATATTATTTAGTGTTAGGAAGTATCGCTGTTATTATTTCAATGCTTGACAAGGTAGAGCCTTAAAATCCTACTGGTGTGGAGGGATTTCCTACACTGCACGGTGAATTCAATCGAAGAATTTCTGGTTTAAAGTATACCACTCTTTTCCTGCACGTGACATTCTCAGGGTGCAGGGCTGGGGAATGAATAGAATCTGAATTCCTGGCTCCCAGCTCTGTACACAGCTCACTAGGCCAGGCCGCCTTTAGGAAGAAATTCACAAGCAGGACTCCCCGCTCCCTCCCAGACACACGCTTCAAAGAGAAAAACCGTCCAGACTCCTGAAAAAAACGAAACATTGGGGATTCAAAAAGCAGGCAAAACACAGAAGTCTGATCGTGTGATCACGGTGATCTCTCTCTTCCGGCCTCAGCATTTGTAAACGATGGCAGCAAATGTCACATGGAAATGTCTCTCAATGCCTTCCCCCAGCTCTAGTTATTATTGTTATTCATTTAAGCAGAATTGGAGGAAGCCACCGGCACTAGGTCTGCTCATTTGGGGATATTTGTGTAGCCCTTTGGATGGTTGGAATGGAAATTCGAGACACGTCTGAGGCCCAAATTTGCATCCAAAGCTTAGAGGGGATCCGACCTGAGGTTACAGGTGGTGTGGGTTGATAATTGTGGCAGACTGGCTAGGAGCTGTGCACACCGCTCATCAGTGCTACAACATTCTATTTCTTCTCTTCCCCTGCCACCCCTTCCACCTCACCACCCCTTTGTCTCAACCACCTGTTATCTTTTAGGTTATAAACTCTTTGGCTTGTGACGATCATTTACTATATGTTTGTCAACAGCCAGCACAATGAGGCCGAGACCTGGTAGAGATTGTTAAGGATTATCACACTATAAAGGATAAAAAACTAATGATGGTATCCAGGCTGCAAAGGTCAGGTGCTAACCCTGAAATACCTCAAAGTTTGGGGCTGTTCCAAATTGGGAATATGGTATGGGCCAATCTCTCAGAGAAACGACAGGCTGCTCTGAAAGACAAGCAGTTGTGCTGAATGCACAGCGTTAAGATCTTATCTCCCATTACAAGCGGACTAGCCTAGAGTGAATCAATTATGAGATTAGAATTAATCCAATAATCTTCTCTTCCTCTGTGTCTGGAATCAGAAAGCGCAGCTGTAAAGATAGTGTTAGTTACAGCAAATGAGATCACAATTTGCCCCATTCTATTAAAAGCCTTTCCCAAACGTTAACAGCTGAGGTGAAAGGTTCCATTGAAATTAAATTGAAATCGCGTCTCTTTGACTGATTGCTATCTCACATTATATTCACCACTCCAGTGGCACAGATCAGTTGCCCAACTCAAAAGGGGCCCTGTGACTATGGCAACATGCACCTTAGAAGTACCACACACAGATTTTCCTCAAGTCATTTGTCTGTCAAAGTATCTAAGGATATAGGTGGGAGGTGGACATTCTGGGGAAAGGTGAATGAGACCTGCTCCTGATGCCCCAAAGACAACCCACCCCACTGCTCTGTCCTCCTTAAAGTTCTCCACTGTCCTGTCTTCTACCAAGTTAAATTGCTGTCTGATAATAGCTTGCCAGGTGGTCAGTGGAGATGGAGGCTATAAATATATTTTACTTGGTTTATTCAACATGCTAATTGTGACCACATCTTCCTATCACTCATCTTCTCTCCCCCAGTCCATCTGTCTGTCTATTAAACTTGCTTTTGTGTCTTATCTTAAATTAGAACGGACACTCAGAATGCATAAGCATAAGAGGGCCGAAATAAAGTAGCATGAATGATTGTAATTCTGGCATTTTCTAACTTTTCGTGTTTGACTTTGACACCATACCAATGTTCTTTTAATATATTTTTTCGTACAGAGTTTTCTAGTTTGTTCTTTAAAAAAGACAACTGAAGAAACAAAGCAATTCTGTTACCTGCAACTGTAACAGCTGCCTACATGAGTCATCAGTGTCTGAATCCAACATGTTCAGATCCATACCACATACCTTGACCACTTGAGCTAAAAGAGCATCTCCTTTACGTGGTACCAGTAGTAGACTGTTATTCACAATGTATACTCACCACAAGAGGGCATGTGATATACATTTTGCCAGCCAGCTATTTGCTAGTCATTACTAGAGGCTGGAAATTAGAATTCCTGGGCTCTCTTTTTGGCTTTGGAAGGGGAGTTTTGTCTAGTGGTTAGAGCAGAGGGCTGTGTTAGAATCTTGAGTGCTATTTATTTGTTAAAGATACTTTGTATTTTCATAGTGCTCATTCATCTGTAGGTCCTGAAAAGGTGTTGCCCCATTTTGACAGACATCATAGCTAAGCACATAGGTTTGACATATTGATTCTGAAAGGCAATGTGACTAGGAGGATGAGACATATTCTAAACGTAGGTTCTATTCAAGATTCGTGCAGAAATGGCCATGTGAGGCCTTTCAGATCTTCAACTACCTCGTCTGTGTCATGGAGGAATAGTAGGAGTAGAAGATCTTGATCAATAATAAGAATTGTGAAGTGCACAGAATTATTAACACTAGCAAGTGGAATAGGTGTGATCAGAATGCATGGTTTTCCAGTTCTTTGCACTAAGGCCAAAGGGTGTCTTGATGGAAGAATGCAACAGTAGGAGGAATAGATTAATCTGTTTGGCCAGTGTCTTGTCTGGAGCTCAGTCTCTCTGTGGTTTGTATGCACACACTTCAGGAGAGGCCATGGGGCCCAGAAGCATGCTCAGTGTAGATGGAATGTCCAGAAAATCAAAGGACAAGTGTAGAACAAATTCTAGTGTGCACCTGTTAATGGTGATGGTCTGTGATTTTTAACTCAACCAAATCTGGATAGCTTTTCACGGGAACAGCGAAAGGCAAATCTCTGACCCCAGAACTATCCCTCTGCCAAATTTCAGGTTCCCACTTTTAACCCCTAAGGCATTAGAACTGTTCAAATGTGTCTGGGAAAATGTTTTTAACAGTTTTGTCAATCTGTTTTTCACTTTCTCGAAAAAAGCTAAACCAGTGTAGTTCAAACTTTCCAAAATAACTAATCTGAAGCAGAGACCAAACATGGCAAACTTCAGCTCAAGTGGCTAACATCTGTCAAAATTATTAGCAACTGAAAACGGGTGGCAATAATGGAAAACTTTAGGGAACCGTAACTCTTTGTCACTGCTGTTCGGTCTACATAGAACTCCTGATTCTGCAGAACTGAGTTGGTAATTTCAGGAGATTTGGCTTCCTTTCATGATTGGAAGTGCTGCCTGCTTCCAGACTGGCTAGTAACAGGAGACTCTTGTAGTTCTAGTTTCAGAGTCTCCAGAAATGAAAGCACCGTGAGAAAAGGTAACTGAGGGTTCTTCTTTGAACTATTAAGGACTGGCTTGAGTTTGGAATGAAGATTTAAAGAGTTCTTGTTGTCTCCCAACTCTGATAGAATTAAAAACACAGCGCTGCTCCTAATGACTCTGACATATTGGATCCAAAGCAAAATCCGCAGTCTTTGCATGGAGATTAGACGCTCGAATTTGGAACAATGAGTCCTCTGTTGCCAGATGGCTCTGCTAATGAATCAAGAAAGAAATCTACTGACCTGATTAGAGCAAACACTCTGACATTTGCAAAGACCGAGATTTGATGAGCTGCTGCTCCCCTCCACAAGTTTCTGGACAGTCTTTATGATCCCATACGTTGTAGTTTCTTATCCCTCTGCTATGAACGATACATTCTCAACCTTTCAGGCACTGTCCTTGTCCCGTCACAGGCTCTGGAATGGGGCCTCTTACAGACACAACATCATGTTCATTACAATAGTGACAGAGTGCTTGACCTTATGCCAATGCATAAGCTGGAGATGGACAGGCAGGTCATGATGAGCATAGAAAATGTTGCTCTTATCAGCGAAAGGACAAATTGTTGTGATCTACATAAAAATGCAGTTGCCTCATTGAAGCGGTGGTACAGCTAATGGAAACATTTGCTATGTGGTTCATGTTTGAGGCTGACAGAAGAAACTTTATGAAAAGATAAGGGAATAGGCAGTTAACTGAGAAATAGGCAGGGAATAGTAAATTGTCATTAAGCATAGTACCTTATTTGTTAATTTTTCAGACCTTTCAGAACCTAAATTTCAGGGTTTCTCAAATCATCTTGGCCAAGATTCTCAAAACTGGGTGCCTAAAGTCAGGTTCTTAAATCTTTATTTATGTCCCTATTTAGCAACACACTTAAATACATGCTTATATTTACTTCTAGTCAGCAAAGCTCTTATGCTTTGCTAAATCAGGGCCTTAGGTACCTAAATAAATGTCCCAACGTTCAGAAGTGCTGAGCACCCACGAGTCTCCCGTTGACTTCCAACACTCTCCCAACTGACCTTGAAATTCACCTTCTGTGTACATTTGTCGTCCACGACACTGGTTAGTTTAATTATTCCATGGAAAGTGAATGCAAATGGGCTATGAACTAAAATGGAGTAACTTCATGTAAAAACTTCCATGAATTAAGCTGAAGATTTTGTTTTGCAGTTTTCGTCCAACTCTAGCTCCTATATCAACGATGCACAGGGATCAGTTCATCCATGGCTGAAGTGCAGCCACCTCTGGGGTGGGAACACGGCAGCTGCTGAACAGCACGCCACAACAACTACCTAGCAGATTAAGACTGGAAATAGGAATATT